GTCTGGTATTTCTCCCACACTTCTAGGCAGTAGCGCAAACAGAACCCAGAGAGCCAGGATCCCATCGTTCTTTGCAGTGCCCGTGCTCAAGGAGCGTTCGAGAGGGAACACGGTATCGTTTCCCCTGATACTCTTCAGACCTCGCGCGCGCGCGCCCTACACATCCGAAGGCGTAGTAACAGGGTGCATGGCGCGAAACGCCAATGCAGTCTTGTATACATATATATATACACATCTATATGTATATATATATGTATATATATATACAGATGCACATATGTTGCTTTTCGGAACTTGGAGGGGAGTGGCCAATTGCGCTTCTCGTCCCCGTCTGTCCTGCTCGTCGTCGTAGTCGTCCTCTCCCGCGATCTCCTTTCGTCGTCCTCGTCCTGCCTCCTTCCTTCTCCTCCTCTTCCCATCCTTCTCTATTCCTCCTCGTCTTCATCCTCCTCTTCCTTCTCCTCCTCGCCCTCCTGCTCCTCCTGCTCCTGCTCCTCCTCCTCCTCCTCCTCCTCCTCCTCCTCCTTCCCCTCTCCTTTTCCTCGTCTGCAATTTTCTTTAGCATAAGTATGTTCTTTTCTTTCTCCCACCTATTCCTCTGCTTCTCCTCCTGCGCCCCCCACCCCCCCGGGACCTCTCAGGAGCTCGCCGCCGCAGCTGGTGTGGAGTGAGCAGGTCGGCTGTGCCCGCAGACATCCGACGATGTGTTTTTTTTTCACTGCGCGGCTCCGAGGGTCCCGACCCTTCCCCTGGGGGTAGTTCGTCGCCCCATCCAGTTCAGTTTTGATGGCTTGGGCCCGATAGCGGGTCCCAGCTGGGGCCGAATTCGAAACAAGGAACGCATGGATTGAATAGCACATCGCGTCGTTGGAGACCTCCCCGGCGCGCGACAGCGCACCCTGCGCGCCGGGCATCTGGCCCGGCAGCGGCAGGCGCCCACGTCCTGGCGGCGCCCCCAAGGGACTGGCGCGAGGGTGTTGGGCTCCCGAAAAGGCGGGGGGCTCAGAATGCAATCGGGACGATCGACATGGGTACGGAAAGAACGGATACGATGCCCAACAGCAGATCTGGTTCATTTTGAATTGGACTCGCTGTCCGCGCCGCCGCGGACGTTTTTCATTGAAGACAGAAAGCCGCCTGCCCGACAGCGGCCGCTGTCGGTTTTGGGCAGCATTTGTTGTTGGGCATTTGTTGTTTCGGGCGTCCAAATTCAGAGGCCTTCTCAGAAAGGGTCTGGCGGCGCCTGAGAAGCCTTCCCTGGAAGCCAGGAGGGCTTCCGAGGGGCCGCTTGCCTCCCTGGAAGCCCCCCCCCCCCCCCCCGTTGACTTCCCAGAAGGCGGCCGCCCCCCTGGAGCGACCGCCTCTGTGGGCGCCGCCGAACCCAGACCCCCGACGTTTTTTTTGTTCGGTTGTTTTTTTCATAACGTCGACCCCAGGAGGTCTCGACCCATACTCGGGGTGCGGGTTTTCGTCGCGGCTCGTTTTCTTCGACGGTCCCGAGGCCCGGCCAGGGACTCCAGCAGAGGCCGAGCAAGGCGAAAAGCCTCCCGTCGTGGTTTTGGATGGCAGATTTTCCACCACCGCTGCCATCTGTAGGACGGGGGAGGGGGGGTGATGAGGAGGTCCTCCTCCTCCTCCTCCTCCTCCTCCTCCTCCTCCTCCTCCCTCCTCCTCCCCCTCCTCCTCCTCCTCCTCCTCCTCCTCCTCCTCCTCCCCTCCCCTCCTCCTCCTCCTCCTCCTCCTCCTCCTCTTCCTCCCCCCTCTCCTACCTATGGTAGTGGTGGTGGAAAATGGGCCCATCAGTTCTTCCATGACTCGGGGGGGGGGTCTGGGCCCCCCACCTTCTTAGAAGGCCGCACCCCCTCGCGCTCCCCCACTTGGGCCTGGCGAAGCAGCAGCGCGTCTCGGCGCGGGCGCGACCTCCGCCGCTCGCGTAGAGGACTCCCAGATGGGGTCGACGGATCGGGCTGCCTTGCCAATGTATCGCGATGTATCGGCGATGCATCGGCGATGCATCGGCGACGCCAGCGTGGATAATATGGGACTCCTCATCGAGCCGCATCGCCGGAACATCGACGATACGGCTCGATCCTCCGACCCCACTTATTCCGACCTCGCCTGGGAGGACTAGATCGTGGCTTCCTCCCCCCCGCGCCCCTGCCTTCTCCCCCTTGTGCCCAAAGCGGCTTCTTGGACTCGAGTTGCCGCTGGCCAAAGCAGTCTCGGCGCGCGCAGCCTCCTTCTGCGTTTCCTGAGATGCCAGCGTTTGGAGTCGGGTGAGGGTCTAAGCTGGCCCAGCGCTGGTTCCGGCCAGCAGGAAGGAGCGGCGAGGTTCGAGGCGCATGGCTCGAGTTTTTTGTTTGTCTGTTGGTTTTCTTTTCTGGTCCCCTGGGGCCTTTGTCGGGCCCTGGGATCGTCACAAACGGATCCAGGGCGAAAATCTGCACCCGATGGGATCCCGGGAGGGGTACGGGTACCGATTTTGAGGGGTACGGGTTCCGATCACCCCGTTTCGACCGATTCTCTTGGGGCCCACGGAGCTCAGACCCGCTGGCCGCCTCCAGACGGGCGCCTCGATTTTCTCGAGCTGGGCGCTCTCGCCAGGCTTCGGGGCCTCGGGAGCCTCACGGATCGATGCGGCTCGAAAGATCCGCAGGAGGATGGGGTCCAGGGCTCTGGCCGTGCTTTCTGCGATGCTTCGACTTTCTCGCGCCGTCGGACCCTTGGCATCGCTCGGACGTGTGCATTTTCCCTTCGGCGAGGACCATCGAGGAGCATCCTTGATCATTTGGCGAAAAAACCACGCACGAAACCGAGCAAAAACACAGGGAATGGACGTCCGAGCGATGGCGAGGACCTCGGTGTTGCCTCACTGCTGTGCCCCAGCCCCGGCGCGGCCCGCCGCCTCTTCGAACGCGCCGGCGACCGCCCTGGCTGCCGACGCGCGCGCGGCGAGGGCGCTCTCGCGGGGCCCTCGACCCGACTGGATTCCGATACTTCGGCCAGCGCGGCCCGGTTCGGTTCTGGCGTTCGGACGCTCCGATGCGGCCCGGTGCTCGCGTGGCGCTGCTCTGTGCAGCCGGGCGCAGCCGGTGCTGCGATGCCACTTCGACTCCGCTCCGCTCCGCTGCAGCCCAGTAGGAGTAGGAGTAGGAGTAGGAGTAGGAGGCAGGGGCGGAGGATGATCATGAGGATGAAGATGAGGATCATGACAATGATGTTGATGATGCTGCTGGTGATGATGCTGCTGCTGCTGATGATGATGATGCTGATGCTGATGATCTCCTGCTCTAGCGGGTGTGTGCGCGCGCCTCCCCGTGTGGAGGGCCCAGCCAGGGAACACTGGTGGAGGCGGCCAAGCAGCACCCAGAACCACTCCGAGCGACAGGTCGCTTGTTCCGGCTTCTCGCGGGCAGGTGCTTTGACCCTGCTGTCCTGGTCACCCACAGCGTTGGGTCGGGGCTGCTGCCTGGCTGCTCCTGCTGGCTCGTCAGCTCTCGGTGTGCCTCTCTCTCTCTCTCTCTCTCTCTCTCCTGTCTCTTCCTCTCGAGGGGTGGGCGCCCTCGCCGTGATAACTAGGCCGTCCCTGTCGCGCCCTGCTGCAAGGCGACGCAGTGGAGTGTCTTGTGGAGTCTCTTGGCTGCAGGCACTCCGTGGGGCCAACGGCGACACGCACAGGGGGCTCGTCTTCTTGTCAAGGCGCGCTGGCTGCTCGGGGCACTCGCCTCCTTCCCGCCTTTCAGCCCGCACCCTTCCCGTCCCTGCTGGATGGAAGTTGTAAGCTCTCCCATTTTTGCTGGCCTCCTGTGTCGGGTGCTCTGTTTGAGCAGAGCATCGCTGCTCCTCTCCTTCCTCCTCCCCCTCGTCTTTACTTCCCCTTCGCTTGCTCCTCGCCTCCTTTTCGCTTTTTCCTGCATTCCTCCTCCCTCGCTCTCCCTTGGCGCTGCCCACCGCCCAGCTGCTGGCACTCCTCGTGAGCTCCTGGGACGCCCAGCGGAGCATGGTGCTTCGTGGACCCGAACGAGACCTCGCCTGCTTGGGTGCTGCCAGCTGTGCAACCGCGGACGTTTTCGTGAGCTCCTGGGAGAGACGGCGAAGTGCGGTCTCGCGACGGCCCGCGCGGGGCCTCGTCCTTCCTGGGCGCTGCCAGGGCCGTGTCTTGCGGGTGTCGCACGGTGGGCGCACCGTGTCGTCGGCGCGCCGTGCGCTGGCTGGGCTTTCCAGGCCTTCGCCTGGTGAGCAACCGTGAGCGCGTCGTCATTAGCTGCATCCCGCAGAGTGCACCGGCTACAATGCACCCGTAGGATGCACCACACAGGTTGCGCCGCGCCGACTGCACTGCGTAGACTGCGCCCCAGTGGTGGCACCGCACACTGACTGCTCCGAACAGACTGCGCATCCAAGGTGCAAGGGCCTACAGTTTGGGGCCCACGCTGGCTTACATTCGGTTCCCCCCCCCTGGCCTAGCGCGTGATACGCCCCTTACCCACCCACCCGTACAGGTGACGGGAACGCCCAGAACCCGATCAAAATCATTTTGTGGAGCTCGCAGATTATGGTGGTTCTCACTCAGTACAGCTTCCATGCGACTATGCGACTATGCTGGGACCTCGTACAATTATACACGGTTGTATTGTCCTACCCGAATTCCTTCCAGCCTTGCCCTCGAATCTCCCACAAGCTCCTAGCTGGATTCCCTACAACGTCGCACGTTTTCACGCTTGTGCTCACACGCATATTGTCCAGCACACTTCTTCACATAGTCTGCTCGCACATCACACGGTATTGGCAAGGTTCAGTAGAATGTGGTGCTAGCATACCGCAGCTGTTGTTACCGTCATTCCCTGCCGCTGCCCCCTCCCTCCAAGATAACAGGAGTTACTCCCCAGAACCCAGACTAAAGCAATCCCCAGATGACGTTTTTGGCGCAACCGACTGCGGCGATCTGGATTCAGTAGCCATTGTCTGGCTCCGCATGGACACGTAGGGCACGCTTGTTTGTTGGGCAGCAGGATAGTCACAAAGTCTGTGCTGTTGCAATCGCCCGCTTGCGTCCCGTGAACGTTAGCGGGCTGTGGTGCGAAGCCACTGGCGTGCGAAGCTGCCTCTCCCCCTCCCGGCTCATCGTACCAGTTTTAGCCCGCTTGCCTCGCAATGGCGCGGGCTGGTCGTGCCGCAAGCCTGAGCCCAGAGGAGGCCCGCATGCTCACCGAGGCCGCTGTGGGCAGGGGATTCGCAAACCTCTAGCAGACGATGGCGCACACGCGAATCTCGCGGGCTATTGTACGGGGAAGTCCTCTCCCGCCTCGGCTGCAGCCGCTTCTCTCCCCACCCTGCCTGAGAAGGCCCTGGTCATCGGTGAGCGCGTGCCGGCGCGACTCTCCACTCGACAGCCGACGCGCTGCGCGCCCAGGCGGCTCGCGACTGGACGCCGTGCGCTCCTGCGATGTTCTCGCGCCTCCCTCCCCCCACATAGCGTTTCGCTAGAGCTAGAGGGGTCTAGCAGTGATAAGAACGGACTTCAGGTGAGCCCCACATGGGGGGACGTGCCGCCCGATCCGGCAGCGGTCTGGCGGCGGGATCGCTGGAGGCTGGCCCACAATCATTCACGAATCGTGCTCTCGCCGCCATGCTGGCTACGTTTTTTGGTGTGGGCGGCCACGACCCTTTGCAAAGCATGCGCTACGGTGCGCATTGCCGTGCTCTCACCCCCGTCTCGGCTGTCTCTCCTCTTGTCATTCCTCGACCCGCCTCTTCATCTTTGCTGCCATCAGGGTGCTCTGCTGGGGTGATTTACTCGCTGGACCTTGTGTTCCCCCAGGCTCGTTTGCCCCACGGTCTCCGCCCCGCTCTTAGTTGGCTGCAGGAGCGGCAGGGCCGGTTTATCACCGTTTCCAAAAGAGTGCCTCTTAAGAAGCGGCGTTTGGAAACGGCAGCAAAAAACGGTTCGGGGATTGGAGTCGGAACCAGACACGGGAAGAAAATGGCGACGGAATCGGGAACAGCTTCGGCGCTGGAACCGGCAACAAGAACCGGCACGACGGAATCGGTAGAAACGGCCTTGTCGTTTCTAGGGCCAATTCAGCCGTCCCTTGTCCTGGTTTCGGCTGATCCGCTTATCGTGTATCGGAATGTTGTGCCCGAAGGAGGCTCAGGTCGACGTCGGTGAGCTGTCCAACACCTGCGCCCATCGTTCGTCGCCTGCTCCAGTGGCCACGTTTGGGAGGGTAGGCTCAGGGGGTGACGCGTCGATCCCCAAACGCCCATGCATCGCCAACAGGGTCCTGATAGCCCACCTTCGCTACCGTTGGCCTATCGCCGATGCCATCGGCGATGTATCGCCGCTTCCAGCTCGATGCTCCCCCCCTGTGCCAGTCCCCCTTGATTACGGTGTGCTTCGCTGTCGCTGTTGTAGACCGCAGGGCGCCGCGAGGCGGCCCCTGCTGAGGTGGTGTCGCGCGCGCGTTGCCTTCGGGTCGACCGCACAGGTCTTTCGGGCTTGCCCGTGTTCCTCTTCCTCGGCCCCCCCCCGCCCCCCCCCAAGGTTGACGCGCGTGCTCGGAGATCTTGCAGCGCGTGCTCGGTGGCGGGCGCTTTCTGGCCATGCCGCCCGAGCAAGGATATGCAAGAAGATGCTTGCGCAGACTGCTCGGTTCGGACGCGCCCCTCTCACAGAAACGCGTAGTTCCAGTATGTCCTCTGCGCCCCTTCTCCTGCCCTGCACTCGGGTTGCCCCCTTCACACCAGATTGTGCTCGCTGGTCTCTGGTCCCAGCTGGGCGCCCTACAGGCAGGCTGGCCGCCGCGGCTGGTGCTGGACCCTCTGAAGCAGCCGGTGGTATTCGAGTCGCGGGATGGCTTCACAGAGGAGCTCTGTCGCCGCGTCTTCGTGTACCGATGCGGTTGGCCTGTTGCAATCAAGATGTTGGGATCGAATTCGGGTTCGCGCGTGGCTATGCCTTAAGCTGTTCATTGTAACCTTGTTTGCGTGCGTGGTGCAGCGGTAACTCCAGCCTCGACTTCGAGAACTCATTTAGTTCAGCATAGGCTTTTCGATATCCTGTCGCTTCGGCAAGTTTTGAATCGTTCTTGGGCATTGGTTTCGGCCTTCGCTTGAACTTCACACTTGGTGTCGGTCCAGCTTTCGCGGGATCTCAGTTGTTGTATTATTTCGTTTTCAGTTTCAGTTGTTGTTTCTGGAATGGCGGAACGCTCAAGCTTTTTTTTGAGGGGGAGGGGGGGCGGCGTGTGTGTGTGTGTGTGTGTGTGTGTGTGTGTGTGTTTGTGTGTGTGTGTGTGAGAGATCGCGAGGACGCATTGCTCGCAAAGCTCCCGCCCCCTTCCCGCGACAGCCAGTTTGGCGCCAGCGGCCAGCCCATCACCCTCGGCTGCGATTTTGCCCCACGGGGCCGCAGGCGTTGGGGGCGCCCGCCCAACGACGGCGAGAGAGTTCCCTTTGTGCCCTTTTTCGAACGCCGCGCCACCCGCCGCGGCGGGCCGCCCGTGAAGGTAGATGGCATCTGCTTGACGGTCCTCCCCCTCCAGGAGGAGGAGGAGGAGGAGGAGGAGGAGGAGGAGGAGGAGGAGGAGGAGGAGGAGGAGGAGGAGGCCGCTCCGCACGTCAGCTGGGTCTGCAGTCTTCGGTCTCCGCCGCCGCCGGCCCGCGCGCACTCCCGGGAAGCGCTGATCTTGACACTGCCGTCGGGGGCGGAAAAGAGGGGGTGATGATTAGGGGGGGGTGGATATCATGGCGGGGGCCATGCTATTTCTCCAGATTTCATGCCGCCTCTTCTTCTGTCATTACGTACCTGGCCTCCCCGCTGGGCCGCGCACATGCCGCCGGTCATGATTCGCACCCCCCCCTCGTGGACACCCCCCTCTTGGCCGCCCCCGATGCCGCTGATGTCGTACAGCTCCAGCTTCGAGCCGGGTGGACCACTCGACGAGTTCTCGAGGAACGTTTGCGGTTCACCAGGGCGTCTGTTGCGGGTCCTCGTTGCAGTCCTCGGGGGGCCCACGTTTCCACAGTCTCTTCCGATCTGCGCTGCGGGCAGCGCCGTGCCCCTGGGACGACTCGCCTGCAGAACGCCTTTGGCTTAGGAGGCTACGATGCCTTCGTTTAGCGGCGAGGAAACATCCTCAGGCATTTTTTTGTTTTGTTTTTCTTCCCCCTTGTCCTCCGGGGGAGGCGCGCTGGGCCACCGGCCGGGCAAAACTGTACCGCCAACCTTAGGAGGGAGGCAGCGGCGGCCTGCGACATTGTCACGGCGGTCGAAGGCCTTTTTTCAAGAGGGAAAGAAGCACACAGACACAATTGATCTTCGGTTTCCTGGAAAATATGGGAAAATATGGGAAGTGGTGGGGAAGAGAAAAACCCAGAGAATATGAGAAAATATTGGGATTTTTTAATTTGTGTCTATTTATTTGTGTGTCTCATTTCCCCTTCAACTTTGTGGAAAACACACACGAGTCCTGTCCTCTGTGGCTACAAAGTTCAGCCTGTTTTTATCAAGACAGGCTGGCCCATCGTCGCCCCGACTGTCCCGCAGTCCTACCACCAGGACAAGGGAGGCACCAATGGGAAGGTCGGATCCAGCACCAAGGGCACCCCCCCAATCCCGATGATCTACCCCCCACCTTCGCCAAGCTCCAGGTAGGGGCCTGGGACAGGCAAAGGAACATCTGGTGGATCCGTTGCCGGCAGACCTGACCCGCTCAACAGGACCGAGAATTTCGCTGCCCAGAGCTGGGAGAAAGATGCCCCCAAGGACTTAGCAGCGTCGCCATACGGGGCAGCCGCCAAGGCGACAAAGCAAACCCAGTCGTCCTGTGCACCACCCGGTCCGGCTCATACGCCCAAAGGGGTGCCGTGGGCGATCCCCGCAGGCAGGATTGATGTGGCAGTCGCCCGCGAAAGCGTCCTGGCCAGCGCAGCCACACAGTCCCATATGCACAGACTGGCAGACCCTGGGGCCACCAGGGCCAACCTGTGGACCCAGTTCATCAACTACCCCGGGGCCCGACCAACAGTGGTAGAGACCCCGGGCGTGTCCCTTGCAAATGTGCAGCAGGGTCCTCCTTCACATCCGAGGCCCCAGCCCGGGTCGGTGCTGCACGCGACAAACGTGCTCAGGACAAGAAGGTTGTCAAGATTGAAGCAACGCACCCTAGGCTTTCAGACCCTATGCGACAGTGAGGCCTCCCACGGCCACTGCCTGGACAGGCTGGCCGACGAGTCTACAGACTGCAGGCGCCGCCCTCTTGCACGACCCAGCTCGGCCCCGGTCGTATACTACGTCCGCAGCCTGCACCCACACTTGCACGGCCCAGGGGGCGCCCCCAGGGGTCCCTTGACGAGCAGTGCCAGAAGTTGGTCAGCCACGACGGCTACGTCTTCGACCTGACGCTGGGCCCCGACCCTACAAACTACGTGTGCGACGCCACGTGGGCACGCCTGTTGCCCCTCGCAGGCCTGGCGCCGACCAGCAACCGTGACCGGCGCATCCCCGAGGACACGCTAGTCCCCTTGCCCACGCCTTGCGGACACGGCTGCTGGAGGAACGCGGCAGACCAGGCGCCCCCCGGGAGCTGCAGGTAGCCGCCTCTTGCATGGAGCCCAATCCGTGCGTGAACCCCAGCCCCCGAGACCACCACACACGCGCAGAGGAGGCGCAGCTGGCAGATCCGGGCGGCGCGCTTATCGGCAGACCGTGGGCCAACAGTGCGCAGGTCCTGATGCTGCTGCTCCGCCGGAAGCGCGGAGCCACAGGCGTGCCCTTCAACCAGGCCCGACTGCCGATTTGGTCGTGGCCCTTTCCTTCGCTTTCTCCTTGTTCCCAGTGCACCTGCTCGATGCGGTGCCTCTGCCTTCAGGCGACATTTTGGCGATGCCGTGCTTGCAGTCGTCTGGAAGGGGTTGTCGCCTGTCTGCAGAGTAGCTGGTAGCAGCATGGCACCTGGCAGGGCTGCTGTGGTGGAGGGGCTCGTGGAGCTCCCTTCCGCTGCCGGATGTCCCACCGCCTCTGTACAGGACCTGGGTCGACACTCTGGGCCCCTCGCCCCCCGCCCCGCCTGGTGCAGCTGCGCCTACACTGAGCGCGACGCTGGCGGGCAAAGGTAACTATACGAGGGCGTCGTTGTAGCGAATGCGCCCGCAAGCAAGCGGGGGGGGGCGGAACGGGCGGCCGCATGGGTGGGGGCGGAGGCTAGGGCCACGCAAGGGGGGACAGACCACTCCCTGAGTGACAGGAACTGAAGGCGGCTGCTGCGCTGGGGTTCCAGTGGCGGCGGGGCCCAGCGCGATCACTGCCAGTGCAACACCACGATGCCGCCGAGGAGCACGTAACGCAGGGCCACCGGGCCGCGCACCGCCCAGGGGGGGGCGCACTGGCGGAGCGGACGGCTCAGCAAGTAGAGGCGCACACTGTGGCCAGCCAAAACTGCAACCGAAGCCACTGACCCCCAGCCAGGGTGGGCAAGGTGGCTGGGAGTTCGCGCCAAGCGGGCGCAAGAAGGGACGTAAAGGCAGCACGCCCCCTGGAAGGGCAGGGATTTTCCACTGGCGGGCGCCCTGGAGCTTTTTTGCAACCCTCTCACCACCCCCGCCGACTTTCGGCACCTATCAGACGCGAGTGCGCTGTCTGCGCGCTCTCTCAAGATTTTGTCGGCTCAGACGTTGGGCCACTCCGCGCTCTGGGCTGGCTTCTTGAAGGGGGGTAGGCTTGTGCAGAGGCGCGTCAAGGCTAGCCGCCAGGGTGCCTGCCACCTTTATGCGGGCATTGCTGCACCGAGGGCGGTCCTGGCCCGTCGCGCGCGGCCTGCTGCCCTGTGCCGGCCCGCCCGCCTGGCAATTGCAGTTGTCCTGGTTCGTGGGGCTTGCCTTTGATTTGCGTGCCCTCTGATGTGGGACTTGTTTTTCGTTCCCTTTGCTGTGGGCTTACTTGTGCGTTTGCCTGTTTGCCTTGGGGCTCTGTTGTCACTGTCCTGGTGTGCCCCTGTTTTTCCTTCTTCTACCTCCTCTTCCTCTGATGCCATCCATCTTCTTCTTCTCCTTCTCCTTCTCCTTCTCCTCCTTCTCCTTCTCGTTCTCCTTCTCCCTCTTCTTCTTCTTCTTCTTCTTCCTCTTCCTCTTCCTCTTCCTCTTCCTCTTCCTCTTCCTCTTCCTCCTTTTTCCCAACCATCCTGTGGTGTTGGGTCCTCGTTTCGAAGAGACGTCGCCCCGCGTTCTCCTCTCCTCCTCCTTCCCCTCCTCCTCCCGCTCCTCCCTCCTCCTCCCTCCTCCCCTTTCTCCTTGCGTTTTCGTCCACCAAGTACCACGCTCCGTTGCCCCATAGTAGGGAGCCCCATCTGCGGTCCCAGTGCTACCGTCCGCATGCGTCCCGCACACCCAGTACAGCGTTTCGTGGCCCTCCTCCCCCGCCTCCCTGCGTTTCACCCACCCAGTACAGCGCTTCGTGCCCCCAGAGGGGGCCCCACCGAAGGTCCCAGTGGTACCGTCCGCACGCGTCCCGCACACCCAGTACAGCGTTTCGTGGCCCCATGGGGGGCCCCACCGACAGTCCCAGTGCTACCCTCCGCAGGCGTCCCGCACACCCAGTACAACGTTTCGTGGCCCCATTCGGAGCTCCACCGAAGGTCCCAGTGCTACCGTCCGCATGCGTCCCGCACACCCAGTACAGCGTTTCGTGGCCCTCCTCCCCCGCCTCCCTGCGTTTCACCCGCCAGCAATTCGTGCCCCCAGAGGGGGCCCCACCGAAGGTCCCAGTGGTACCGTCCGCACGCGTCCCGCACACCCAGTACAGCGTTTCGTGGCCCCATAGGGGGCCCCACCGAAGGTCCCATTGCTACCGTCCGCACGCGTCCCGCACA